ATGTTGTTTAGACGAGAATTTCTTAAGGGTGGGGAGAAGTTTAAGAATATGTCTGAACAAGTGAAAAAGGCATCAAAGGCATGGAAGAAGTTGACACCAAGGAGCAGAAGAAATATAGTGATCGGGTGAAGCAATCAAGAAAGGAAGGGATGAAGAAGAAGAGGAAGAAAAAAGTGGCTTTTAGCACTCGTTGCTCGGTTTGGCAATTTAAGTCATTAGTGGACTTCATAAAAGATGATGAAGGTTTGAAAGTGAGGGTACAAAATTTAGGCTTTGGCCATTTGCTTGACATCGGATGTGAGAGACTCCCTCGTGACCTCATAGTATGTGTGCTTCGAGCATATGATTTGCCTACCCATCAATTTCTAATAAGAGGGATAATAAAGGAAATAGAAGCAAATGATGTTGCAAACTTGTTGGGTGAACCCCACACAAGGGAGAAGGTAAAAATAGACGTATGTGATGATGATGAGACATACTAGAGGTTGAAGGAGGAATTTGGTAAAGTCCCTTATACAAAGATACTCAATGACATTAAATCTGGGCAGAAGAAAGATGAGTTTGAGTTCTTGTTTATGCTGTACACACTTGGGAGTTTTTTAACTCCTACTTCACAAACAACTGTGAGTGACAAGCTAATAAGAGTCATGTGCTGTACCATGAAGGGATTTCACCAATTTGATTGGGCCACGTACATTGTAAAGCACTTGTGGAAAGAGATGGGAGATTATGTAAAAGTGTACACAAAAGCAAAGAAATTCGAAGATGAAGATGAAGGAAGTTGCAATGTGGGAGGATGCATCTACCTCCTATTGGTATGTATTTCTGACCTATGCTTCTAAGTTATTGTTTTCTTTATTTGTGGAATTGGAAAGTTAATGATTTACTGTTGTAATTATATTTTGCTGAGCACTTCCCACTATCCAAAACTGTTGAGAGAGGGTCCCTAAATGCTATTCAGTTCTGGATTGATGAGAGGATAAGGAAGCTGGAAAAGAAAGAGAGGGAAAGCAAGAGGGGTTTACTGTATAAGGGCAAGGGAAGTAGGGATCGAAATGGGAAGGATGAAGGAAAATGCAAAAGTGTGGCTCATTTACACCCGGTATGTGCTTTCGTTACTAATTTTCATTCTCATTAGCAAATAATCTCATGAAAAAAGTGTTTAGTCATTTTAAATGGTTTGCTGCAGGAGTTACAGAAGTTGCACTAACGATTGATGGCTCAAATCGAATTAAGCACTAGGAGGCTTATAAGTGCAATAGAAGATGAGCTGGATAAGGTGCAGATAACGATAGAGGAAAAAAATTGACCACAGATGATGAGGACCCTATTGACGTCCCAGATGATGATAAGGGAGATGATGATGCATTTGGCGATGAGGACCCCCATGATCATGATGGACATGAGTCTGATCACGAAGATGATGATAGAGATGAGTTCCATGAGGGAGATGATGAGGGAGACGATGATGCAATTGGCTCAGATAGGGGTGATGTGATCGGTGTTGCAGCAGAAGGTGCAGACAAAGAAATTATGGAATCTCCCCTGCCCTTTTCCCCCATGGACAAGGGATGTCAACTCCGGAGGTCGCAAAAGGAGATGAAATCCGCTATCAATTCTCCATGGATTTTGACAAAGCCAATTAAGAGGCGAAAGAGACCCATGGATGACAAGGACAGGTTTTATGACATTGTTTCCCGTATGTGTTCAAGCAAGGAGGGTGACATGTATGTACATATCCACTACCCACGTAATCATATTCATTATAGTTTTGTGCTAATTGACTACATGCATAATGATATTGACCACATATTTTTAGGCCTTTGGTGAAAATCTCTGATGAAGATATCACTCGGGATCAGCTAAGGACACTTGGTGGAATTGAGAAAATAGGTAACCGAGTAAGTAGAATATTTGTGATCAGGTCATTTAATTGTTTAGTAGATGCTGTGTTTTGGGTTCATCAAAACAATCATCTCTTTGCGTACAGCTGATGTCAACTGTGTACAAGACTCTAATGGCTGATATGGAGAAGGAAGAGCAAGTGAAGCGGCACATTTTTTATGCTGACTTTATGGTAAGCTTACTGAGATGTTAGTTTTTTGTGGATTGATGTTGATAAATGACTAAAATGTTTATGTTTTAGGCAATAATGGCAGCTAACCCAAAGCTGTGGGATGCTACAAAACAGAAGAATCAATTTTCACCTGAAAATATAGGCTACAACATAGGAGAATATGATTTGATCTTTGAACCCACACTTGTTGGCGCTCACTGGTTCTGTGTTGTGCTTGAGCCTAGCACAATGAATTTCTATGTGCTGGACTCAATGAAGCCAAATTTAGAGGGTAAGAAGAAGAGCAAGAAGAAGGGTGTAATTATTGATGACATGATGACCGTGGTCACTAAATGTGTAAGGATAATGCAACTCATCTTCTATGATTGACATTTCATTTACCTTTTATTTACAATTGCGTAATGATATTGTGCAGAGGAATAGATTTTATGACATTATTGAGATAGTTAAGCCTAATGCCACTGGGAAGAAGAAAATGAGTGATATCATTTGGGCTCCTGTTCCGCAAGAAAACAATCTGTGAGTGGTTTATGTTGTTGATATTATTACGTCTCAAAGCAGCCCAATGTGTTATTTTCATTCTTTTACATCGTTGGGATGTTTTCATGTACAGGGGAGACTACAATGTTCATGTATTAATATGGTTGAGTAAATGGAAGCCCGGTGAGACACTTGAATATACAGATGAACAAGTGGCTGAATTCCGACAAAACCTCATGTGGTGGCTAATGAATCATGAGCTTAATTCAAGACGTGATGAAGCATTAAGCTTGCTTTCATCAACCCAAGCCACCACACTGACCAAAAGATGGCATCTGTGATAGCAGGAAACATTATATAGATTAGGCATGTAGTATTTGTGAAAGCAGTGTTAGTTTTTTGTGAACATATTGTACTTATGGTTGGAGGTAGTAAGTAGCTGCCATTTGTTGGCCTAATTTCAATCCTTTTTGGGATAATTTGAGTAAAAAAGTTATGGTATTTACAACATGCCATGTGACTTCCGTGATGATAATCACATGTTGATGATTATTTTGTGCCCCAAATTAGGACCCGGGTTCACTACACAAGTAATAGGATTAACAACTTTCGTATTGAGAATTGTAACCTTTGTAATGATAGTTACCACGTCGTTGTTGCCATTTGCATCTGAAGTCTTTCAAGCCCAAATCACATTTTTTTAATCCATTTTTGCTACCCCAGTAATGATAATGACAACGTTCGTACTAATAATTGCAACCTGTGTAATGATAGTTACAATCTTCCCATTGCCTTTTGCAACTCTGCATGTTCATACCCAAGTAACACTTTTTTAACGGAAATCCACTACCCCGGTAATGATAATCACAACATTCGTAATGAAAATTGCAACTTTTGTAATAATTGTTACCACCGCGCTATTGCTTTTTGCAACTGCATGTTCGTATCCACGTATAAATTTTGTCACAGAATTTCACTACCTGGGTAATGAAAATCACAACATTGTTAATGTAAATTGCAACTATAGTAATGAGATTTACCACTACGGTTTCCCCATTTGCATCCCCATGTTCTAAACCCACATATGAAATTGTAAATCTTAATTGCAACTTCAGTAATGATATTTACCAGTCTTGTTTTCCCATTTCTGGTTCCTTTAATTTAAACCCACGCATCAAATTGTTCAAGAAATTTCACTACCCCCATAATGATAATGACAACATTGAAAATATTAATTGCAACTTCAGTAATGATATTTACCAGTCTGGTTTTCCCATTTCCGGTTCCCTTGATTCAAACCCACGCATCAACTTGTTCACGAAATTTCACTACCCCTGTAACGATAATAACAACATTGGAAATATTAATTGCAACTTTAGTGATAATATTTACCACTCTGCTTTTTCCTTTTCCACCTTAATTTCAAACCCACGCATCAAATTGTTTAGGGAATATCACTACCCCCGTAATCATAATTACAACATTTTGAAGTCTTAATTGCAACTTCACTAATGTGATTTACCACTCTACTTTTCCCATTTCCGGTTCCTTTAATTCAAACCCATGCATCAAATTGTTCACGTAATTTCACTACCCCCGTAATGATAATGACAACATTGGAAATCTTAAATGCAACTTTAGTGATGATATTTACCACTCTGCTTTTTCCACTTCCACTTCCTTTATTTTAAAGTCAAGTAACATATTTTTAGGGAGTTTCACTAGCCCAGAAATGATAATAACAACATTGGTAATGTGAATAACAACATCGTTGATGACATTAACCACTCTAGTCATACCCATTGGCAACTTCCAACATCTCCCTCGAGGCCATTAAACAAAAGGTCATCTGTGTTGACAAAATAGCATAGAAGTACACCTGACGAGCATCACAGGATGTTTACATTAACATTTAGACTTTACTACATGTGTAATGGAATTGACCACTAAAGTGATAATATTTACCAAAAACCAATAGGCCCATCACAGAAGCTGCATAACTTATATTCAAATGACAAGTTAACATTAACATTAACCCACCACCTAATGTTTCTTTGTCATTCACATTACAAAATATATCCTACCCAGTAAATATCATTTACAAAAAGGATAGCCTACCCATCATAGGATTTTTACGTTAACATTCAGACTTTACTACATCTGTAAAGGAATTGACCACTGAAGTGATAATATTTACCAAAAACCAGTAGGCCCATGATAGAAGCTACATAACTGATATCCAAATGACAAGTTAACATTAGGATTAACCCACCGCCTAATGTTTTCTTGTTATTCAGATTACAGAACATATCCTACCCAGTTAACATCATTTACAAAAAAGATAGCCTACCTATCAACCCTTCTCCCAAAAAAATTAAAAAGGGTTCAAGAGTCATTCCATTCCTATCAAAAAAATTACCCCTGTTGGTATTGACATCAAATCTTAAGTTGGGTTTGGATTCTTGCATGTTCTTCTTGTGTGGCCAACTTGCTGGCATGTGCTACAATGGTACACCTTCTTGTTTTGAAACTGCGACTCTTGCCTATTTATCCTAGGCCTTCCAGGCGGTCGACTAGTCAAAGGTGGTGCCAAAAACACTTGACTTGCTATATCTTGCAGGCGATAGTTATTAGGATTTGGTATGTCGATTGTCACTACTGGAGTCATCGTCCTACCATAAATCTTTTGTTGGGACGTAATCTTGTAGCATTCTTCAACAAAATCATACACATTGCAATTCAAGGCCTTGATAACTGCACATGCATGTGGGCATGGGATGCCTGACATTTGCCAAGTTGCACAGCTACACTCACCTTTTTCAAGATCAACATTAATGGCTCCTTTTGCTGTATGGACACACACCCTCCCCCTTCCGTAAGGAACACTTAACATCCGTGCAGATCTCGCCACATTTTCCATCAATGTTGCATTTGTATTTAGGCCTACATCATTCTTCCATTTGCTCATTGCCATGCTTGCTGCATACATCTTCTTGGCTACTTTTTCATGATGCTCATGTATAAGTTGGGCAACATTATATCTTCTCTCCTTCAACATCCACGCATTGAATGACTCCACAAGGTTTGTTGTTATGTTGTCCCATCGTTTAAAAGGAAACTTGCTTAAGGCCCACTTGTGAATATCACCATGATTGACAAGCCATTCAAATAATTGGGAATTGAAGTGTCTCATGTTATCCATTGCTTGATCAAACTCTGTGTCAAGCCTTGCATATGCAATGGCATCTAGGAAATGCAGTCCATCCTCCCTTGTGTTGCCACTTGTCTTCCTTTTTCCTCTATTTAACTTGATCATTTGTGTACTGAAATTCTCCTTAACATGTCTGTAATAGTACGCATGTCGCTCACCTCTGAATATTGCTTGCACAGCGCCTATAATTGCATTATGTCAGTCTAAAATCTTCAAGCCTTATACCCTCCTTTATCACTCTTACCCTGACAGTTCCACCATAGTACTTAACTTCACCATCACCATTTTTTGCAAAGTTCCCACCCACATGAAAGTAACAAGCAAGATGCTTTGAAGATGTTGACCCAATGTTAGATGTCATCAAAGCTACCTAACCTGCACCAGAGAAGCATAAATCAATATTTTAGTTCCCCAATAATCAATTTCATTTATCAGGATTTCGAAACTTTTCTTAGGATTTCACAAAAAATGCAACACCCAAAAAACGCAAACACACAGTTTCTGCATTGACAACTTAAATATGGGATTTCACAATTCCAATAATGAATTTAACAACACTGACCACCTCATGCTTACTGTTAGCCCTCAAACTTCATGCCCACGTTATCAGTTCCTACTATTTTTTTCATTTCCAATGTATCACTCTCTCATCCTGGTCAGGTTCTTCATTTAAACCATCTACACTCATAAACCCATCCCCATTAGACCATACACCAGTAAACCGACTTGAAAACCGAAACCTATCGTTAAGCTCCACTTTCTTACATAATACCCACGTTCAACCTCTCTCTTACTACAAACCAAGTTGCCCACAAAGCAATTCCACCGTAATAAATCAGATTTGTAGAATGGTGAAAGTTGGAGGAGTAGATAAGAGCATTTTAGGAGAAATTTTCCTTACCTTTTTCGCCTTCTCAGCGTTCGACTCTGCTCCAGCTGCGTTTTCAGCTTCTAAGCTCCCTCTCTTTTGCTATTACGTGTCATGTGTTCGTTCTTCATGTCTTCAGACTGGTTCAGGGGCATTTCAGTCTTTTTGGCGAATTATTCAAATTCCAGATTGATACCCCATGCCCATTTTATCATTTCAGTAATTTACATGCCCATTTTGTCATTTCAGAATTCAACAGTCATTTCCTTGTCATTTTCCCTTTAATATAGGGAAGTCCTCTGAAAAATTTCGGAATTTATATCAACCTCTAACTATTTATTTTGAATTTTCTCCGAAATCAGGCTTTACCAATAAGATTTCGGTGATAAATATTATAAAATTAATTCCTGCACTTCCAGGGCTTAGAATCAATTTTACAAATTCAAATAAACCCTTAAATAATTTTCTCATATTTTTCAGGAATTATTGAGACCTCTAGATATTTAAAATAATTATTTTTGCTCAATTTATATTATTTTTCCTAAAAAACCTTTGTTTTCAAGAAATTTTGTAGTAAGTTATTTTCATACTATTTTTACTTGCAAAGCCTCAAATAAGGTTCTAAAACCTCAAATTTACCCTTTTTCTATTTTTTGGAAATTTTCTGAAATTTTTCTGAAATTTTTTCATTTTGCCATTCTTAGATCGATAATTTTGAAAATATCAGTTCGGATCCTTTCTGAATTTTATGTTATACCTAGCTTCATCAGCCAGTCTACTTTTCCTATTGGCCTTTGACTTAGTTTTTCATACCCATTATTAGGGTTAAATTTTGCGGGATGTGATAGAAATAACTTGTTTTGTTTAGCCTTTAGTTATATGTTCCTCTTATCCTTTTTATAAGGTAAAGAAAAAAGGTCCTTTTTTATTCCTATTTATTTATAAGTCACCTCATTTAACTTTTAGCATGAATATACTATTTTGTCATTCATTTGTTATAATATAGGTAGTTATTTTTTAAAAAAAAGTTAAAAAGTTATTATATTTTAATAAAGAGTTAGTGCATTATAAAATTTTTCTTGATCTATATTGAAAACATGTTAGAAATACCTTATAAATGGGACTAAAGAAGTATAAATTAGTTGGGTTTCACCTATAGTTTTTCTCATCAAATTTGCCTTTAGCTTTGACTTAAGTTTTTATTATATGGTTTTTCCGGTCCTTAAAAAATCTTTTCTCATAATCCTTGTTATATACTACCTCCAATCCTTAATAGAAAAGTTAATTTGATATTCAATTTGGTCCTAAATATAAGACCTTAATCTACTTTATCTCTCTTTTTTTTTCCATTCTTTTCAATGTAGTCGTTATAATAGTTTCACATACTAAATGTTTTATCAAGTGTTAGTTTTCACTAATATATGATTGGCAAGGATATTCAAGAAAAGATAACACCTATTTATTATAAATCACTAACTTAAAAAACTTGCTTAATTTACTCAAGTTAGTCAGCTAACTCTTTTATTAAGAATTTGGAATAGTATTTATAAAATTCTTTTTACAATTTAATTAAATAATTGGAGATCATTTTAAAATAATACAACTCCATCCATCCTTCTCACAAAAAAAAAGAATTTTCTAGACTTTTTTTGAGGAAAATTCTAAAAATTATTAAGTTTTTAACATTTAACAGCTTTAAACTTGCTTTCTTAACTCATGTAAAGTGTGGCCTTCAATCTTCTTCTAAGTTATTTTTAATATTTTCATCAAAAATCCAAAAACAAAGAACCATAACTAATTCTGAAAAACAATTTATGAGGGCAAAATAAAAAGTAATATAAATATTATTACATTAATATTATATAAGTTATATAAATTTTTTAGTACAAATTAAATTAATTCACAAATAAAAATGATTAATATTATTTAAAAATATTAGTCATCTAATCTTAAATGTAAGCTAATAAAGCCTAATTTTTATACATTTTATCCCACATTAATTTAGGATTTAAATGATAATTTTGAGCTTAATTGGATTTTTATGCATTATTAGATTAATTGGTTGATTTTTGGATTTTACATAAAAATTGAGATTTTGGATTAAAAATATAAATATTTTGTGGTTTCCTATTTTTGACTTGGAATTAATTTTTCCTATTTCTTTGGAAACAAGTTTTATATTTTTAGAAAGATTACTTTAAGAAAGTTTTGCAATTTGTTACCTAATTTTTGTGCATATCTAATATTTAATTTTGATATAGATTATATTATATTTGAATATAATCTACATTAATAGTTGCACTTAAATTCTTGTAGGTCAAGAAAGAGCATATATGGAATCTAATGGTGCAAGATTGTTTCTTGGAATTTATGCACAATCCAATGACTAATATCAAGTGGGTCAATTAATTACTAATGGGCTTGAACTTTGGATCCACAAAAATTTTCTTTTCTCTCATTAAAATATTTTCCTTATTTGAGAGCAAGGACTCATGCCTAGCATCACTTCTTCCTTATCCATCACACCCACGGACACCATTTAACGCCAACTCTCTTCTTCCACCAAAAATCCTCTAGCCTACGCCTTGCACCATATCTTCCCTCATCCCATATTCACCATATACCATCTCTCACCATCATCACTCCACGTCTACAAAAGCATCACCTCTCATCATCATCAATTCACGTCTTTTCCTTGGCCAATTTCCTGTCTACACCTCATCATTCATGGTTATGGCATCTAACAACTTTGGAGGAGGAGAAATATTGATGGAAGCTTAAACTTGCTTGGGAAACAACTTAGGGAGAGCATGGAGGAGGCTTGAGCCTTGGGCTAACACTTGAAGACCACAAGGGAGTGATATTTCATTATCTTTTTAATTCAGGGACTTGAGATTATTTAGTTTTAAATAATTTTAAGTTGTATTTTTGTGACACAATGTAGTTTTAGATTGTTATTTTTCTGCTTGGATTGGATTGATATTTGGATTTTGTTTGTATTGAGACACTTGTTGGAATTTATGTTTATAAACCTTTGCATTGTTAATTGAATTTATAATTGAGTTTTCATTATAGGTTTAATTATCAATGTGGTTTGAATTGTAAAATTTGGGTTCTTTTGCCTCTTAATTATTTAATTAAATTGGTTAATTGTCTAATTGTTTAATTGGATAATTTTAAAAAAATTTCCAAAATTAATTTGAGTTGTTTTCATTGGTTTTTAATAAGCTTAATTAACCAACCTTATACTGTTATGAGTTTTCTAATAGTTTAATGGTTTTTGAAGTTGAGGATTTTCTTTATTTCAAGTAAGTAATTAAGTTTATTAATTCCACTCTCTTATCACTTTTCTTTGGTCTAATTAACTGATTAAGGTTATGAAAGTTAAATCCATGCGAATCCTAAGTTGTCCTCTCACTACTACAAAATAATTGATTTGTAGTGCACTTTTTATAGCATTTAAAATGAAAACGCTACAGCTAGTAGTAAATAATTTATTAAAAAAAGATATATATTCTGTAGCACTTATTTAAATAAGTGCTAGAACATGTATGATACTTGTTGTAGCACTCTCTCAAGAAAGCGCTACAGCATTCCATTTACCTTTTAAAAAAAAGTAAAAAAAATATTTTGTAGCATTTTATTGAGAAAGCGCTACAGGAAATAGGAGACTTTCTGTAGCTTTTTCTTTAGAAAGCGCTACAGAAGGTTAAAAACATTCATAATATAATTTTTGGGACTTTCTGTAGGGCTTTCTATAGAAAGCACTACAGAAGGCCTCTGAATTTTTAAAAAAAATTAGAGAAACTTGATCTAGCATTTTATTATGAAAACGCTACAGAAGTTCTTTTTTTTCATTTTTTTTATTTAAGTTAAAATAAAAGCTAAACGCACTATTTTCAAAAATTATAAAAATCTCCTGGTAATTATATTTCCCATTTTCCCTCCCTTTTTTATTCATTTTCACAATTTATTTTAAAATATCTTATGTAGCATTTTCTGAATAAAACGCTACAGAAGCCTACTTTCTGTAGCGTTTTAATTTAAAACGCTATAGAAAGCCAAATTTTTTCAAATTTTAAATTTAGGTTAGAAAAATGCTAAAATTTATTTTTAAAAAATATATAAATCCCTTGCTAATGATATTTCCTAACTTTTTTTTTTTCATTTTCACAATTTAAAGAAGAAAGCTAAAAAAAAATTTTGTCAAGTTAAAAAAATCCCCTACTAATGACACATTTCCCTCCATTTTTTTTTCATTTTCCATTGATATGTTTAAAAATAAAGGTAACGTATTTGTTTTAAAAAAATTATATAAATAACCTGCTGTAGCATTTTGATTATAGCATTTCCCTCATTTTTTTTCATTTTCCCTATTTAATTTTTTAAAAAATAGCTTAAAGCGTTTTCTTTTTTAAATTATAAAAATGCCTTACTAGTGACATTTCCCTCCTTTTTTTATTTATTTTCCTTTGTTAAGTTTTAAAAAATAAAAGAAAGCTAAATTCAATTTTTTAAAAAATTAAAAAAAGTATTTTGTAGCGTTTTAATTTAAAACGCTACAAAAAATTAAAAAAATAACCTTCTATAGCGTTTTTTCTACAAAACGCTACATAAGATCAGATGTTGTAGCATTTTGTGTGTTCGCGTTTTTGCCTTCCCCGGCCCCCATTTTTTTTCCCATTTTCCCTCTCTTTTTTCCCCTCCACTCCCACGATCCTATGGCTCCAGCTCGCTCTCCCTATCTCTTTCTAAACCCACAGCTCTAGCTCGACCTTTGTCCTTCAGCTACGCCATTTTCAGCTCCCTTTTTTCCCACAGCTTCCTGCCGTGCCTCTTTACCCATGCGTCCTCACCACTAAATGTTCCCCTAAGCTCCCCACTTCCCTTTTTCTTCTCCGTTGCCCACCTTTCGTCCCCACCACGGTCCCCACCCCCACCCCTTACCTATCCCAACTCCCACCCACCGTCCCACCTCCTTCCCATCCCACCTCCCACCCATAGTCCCCACCCCCACCTCCTTCCCATCCCTTGTCCCTACCCTTTTCCCATACCCACTTTCCCGATTCACCCCATTCCCATTCCCTTTGCCCATACCCTTCTTCCCCCTCCACACTTTTATTTAATTTTTTTTGTAGGACTCTCAATATAATTCAAGTCAATCTATAATACACTGTAAGTATTTTTTTCAACTAAATTATTTAAAAGCTTACAAATTTAAGTTTGTTATTACATGTGGAAATATGTGATAGTTTTATTTTTCTATTTTCTATTTTAGGTTGAATCATATGTTGGAAAATATGATTGCTATTGTTATGGGCTTTGAAAAATTAACAAAATTTGCTATATGAATTGTTTAATTAACTATTAAAAAGGGATTTTAGGACCATGAAATTTTTAACCTGTTATGCTGCTAAAATTTTTAAGGTAAAAAACATTATTTAAACAACTATTTACATAGTTTTGTATGTGATTTGGTTTTGTGAGATATGGAAGTTAGAATGGTCTAAATATTTAACCTGTTAGCTTTTAATGCTTTTTATTTTAGATTTGATATATGTTGGCAAATATGATTTTGTTGTTGTTGTTGTTTATAGTTGTGAAAAATCATTGAGTTATGCTGGATTAATTGGTTGATTATAGTTAAAAGAGATGTGTTGAATCCAGAAAACTTGCATTTTTAAGCTATTATGCTGTCCATTTTATTTTTAGATAAATAAAAAAATATTAAAAATATTAGGAGGTATAATAATAATTATGTACTTAACTATTTATTTATAATAGGTTGAAGACATGGATCGAAAATGGATGTCATCTAATCGGTGTTCAATGGAATAGATAAACGGTGTGAAAGAGTTTATTAGTTTTGCAATGAGGCATGCAAAAGATCTTGAAAAAATTGTTTGTCCATACTTATCATGTTGCTATGGAAAGCGAATTAGTCCACCTGATTTGTTAGATCATTTGGTGTGTCATGGAATTAATCAATCTTATACACAATGGACAAGGCATGGTAAGACTTATGATAGATGTAGTGATCAAGTTCATAGCGTAAGTGGTACTTCAAATGAGGTTGGCATAAGCATATGTGATGAAGATGATGGTCTTGAAGAAATGCTGAATACAGTTGAAGAGGATCTTTGTGATTATCCTAATTTATTTGAGAGGTTGAAAAGTGATGCAGAAAAACCATTGTATGCTGGATGCACAAAATACACAAGATTGCTAGCAGTATTAAAATTGTATAACTTGAAAACGCGTCACGGATGGAGTGATTTGAGTTTTACTGCATTGCTTGCACTTTTGCAACACATACTTCCAGAGAAAAGTGAACTTCCTACCAAAACATATGAGGCTAAGCAAATTCGTTGCTCCACTGGGATGGGTTATGAAAAGATTCATGCATATCCTAATGACTGCATCTTATTTTGAAATCAATATGCATCGTTGGAGAAGTGCCCTACATGTAATGTATCACGATATGGGAAGAAGGGCAAAAATCTTTTAAAGGTCCTTTAGTATTTTCCCATTATTTCAAGATTTTGGCACATGTACAGTAATGCAAAAATTGCTAAGTAGTTGACATGGCATACAAATGAGAGGATTGAAGACATGAAGCTTATGCACCCTGTAGATTCTCCATAATGGAAAAAAATTGATTATAAGTACCTAAACTTCAGGGAAGATGACAGGAACTTATGACTTGCATTTGCAACTAATGGAATTAATCCTCATGGTGTTCAAAGTAATACTCATAGCACATGGCCTGTGATATTGATGATATATAACCTACCGCCACGCTTAATGTCACATCCAGTAATATGGCAACTAGGGATAAGGATATTCCTAAATATTTAAAGGCCAAAAATGATGAGGAGAAATAGACGAATTTTGGTGGAAAATAATTATTATAGTTTTCCAAGCCAATTATGAAAAGTTGACTAATAAAGGAAAATTGGTCAAGGATAATTATGGAAAAAAATATTTCCAAGCCTCATAAAATTAAGGAAAAATAAAGACAAGGTTCCTTGAGAATTATATGGGATTGTAAAATTGGTTTTATGACCAAACTGCCCCTAGAGAGATTACAAAGGAATTTAAGGGCAATTTAAGCCAATTTAAGGTCTTTATTTGGAAAATTCCAAATAAGTATATTTAAGGGGAATAAAATTCCAAGAAAATTCCTATGATATCCCAAGGAATTATAAGAGATTATGAAATTAAAAGAAGGCTCTCAAGTATTCAAGATTTTTCCCAATTCCTCATAAAAGTGGAAAAATACTAAAGAGAAGGAAATTAGTTTTCCATTTTATTTAATTATTGGAAAATTAATTTTGAGACAAAGAGAGAAAATTGGAAAGATAAAAATGAGGAGATAATTTATGGGTCTGACAGAAAATAATTACAGGGGCCAGAGTACTGTAATTATAGAAAAGAAATTAAACCCGGAGTAAAAGTGCACCGATAAAGCAAGAAGTAGAGTCTTGCACTTTGCTTGGCCCACAAGTTGCCACTTGTCAAGCCTTTAATGGATGGTAATTAAAGCTTTCCAAGTGTCAAGCTACCAATGGAGAGGATCTTGACTTTTGAAATTAATTTCAATTGTCATTAAGTTAATTAAAAGGGAAAATGCAAGACTAAGTAGGAACTTGACACTTGGCTCCTCATTAACGATGGTAGATGAGATATTTTGTGTGCATTGAATGAGCTTCTCCTCCCCTGAATCTGATCCAAGTTTCGGCCAAGCAAGAAGAAAGGGGAAAAAGAGAGAGCTTGAAAGAGAACCAAGGCAAAGCTATCAACTTTGGTCTTCAATCAAGGATTCAAGGTGAGTTCTTAGTTCTAGATTTGTTCTTGCCTTGTTTTTCTTCTCTTTTATGGTTGAAAAATCTGTCCCCTCTCTCTCTAATGGTTGGCCGAACTGAATAATAAAAAGGGAAGGGAGTTTGGTTGTTAGATCTTACTAGAACACTTCAAAGTATGGTAGATCCAAGTGGTTTAGTGTTGTTTTGAGGGGTTTTTCATGGTTGAACTTCAAGAGGTTTGGTTCGGCCAAGATCAAAACTCAACCCTAGGATGTGTTTTTCAAATTTTTGAGGCTTCCATTGTGTTCAAAATGAAGAATAGTGTAGGGTAAACCTAAAGAACAAGTGTTGGAAGCCATAGAAGCAAAGTTGCAATTTTTGAGTTTTAAACCCTAAGGGTTTGGCCAAACTGAAACTGAAGGAAGGAAATTTATTTTGTTAAATCCAAGTAGATATTTGAAATCTACATGAAAAATCATGTGGGGTTGAGTCAAGAGGGAATTTTTAGGGTTTATGGAAACCAACTCTAAAAATTCAAGAACAAAGATGAAACCTTTAAGGGGCTTAGGAGTTACTTGAGTTATGCTATTGATTTTATGAGGAATGGTTGATGATTCTTGCTACCCTTTTTGTGGATTGCCATGTTAGGGTTTGGCACTTGTGGAAGCAAGAAGGAACAACAAGAAAAAAACAAAAAGCATTGGATTAAGGTAGTGGGATCTAATTAGCCATTAATGTTAACTTTGCATTGTTATTTATGGCATGTATGCTTGCTATTATATGGTTGAACTATGATGGTGTGATATGGTTGCTCCTTGCATTTGTTGCCATGGCCTTGCATGTTGAGGTTGCCTGTTTATAAAAGATTAGTTCTCCTATGATAGCTAATGTTGAAATGCTTTATAATGATGCATGTTAATGTTTGGTTGATTGATCTTGCTACTGGGATTTCTTAAAATCTCATCCCCCAAATATAATCTAACATTTTAGGGCCTGAAACTACTATGAGAAAGCTGCAGATTGGTGGCTAAAGTATGGTGTTTTGCCATAAAATTCGTGGACCCTTTTTGGTTATGTATATATTAAGCTAACAGTGTTGTAAGCACACTGACACTGCCATGTTCATGTGACTTTTTGATTATGCTCCCGAACTCTTTTAATCACAAAATTTGGTATGATGAAAGATAATATCCTGAGATTTAATTTGATAGCTAATACATTAAAAATGTCCAAGTATACAAATTTTAATGATTTTTCAAAGTTAGAGGTCAGAATCAGGAAAAAAGGGTTTTTGGCAAATAGACAGTGTTACATTTCACAAAAACCTGACACTTTTTCATAAGGAATTGGATCATGAGAGTATTTTTCCTTGAAAGAGGACTTAAATAGCTTTAAATAGAATTTTGAACCACCCCATTTGGATTTTTGTGGAATAAGTTATGAAATTTTGAAGTTGGGCCAAAAAAACTAGATTTTTACCCGATGAACAATAAAAATCCGAAATTTAGCGTTTTTAAAGTGAAAATTGAGCCCAAGACCATCCAATGTGGTCTAAAGTGGTTTTAAATGAAACCTAAGTGGATATAATAGTAGGGTGTGACACTTAATCATGAAACGTAAGTTTATGATGCTGCCCATGTTAATTTCAGGGCCGAGACAGCTTGGGAATGATATAGATATATACTTGGCTCCTTTAATTGATGACCTAAAGTTGATGTAGGAGACTGGGGTGAATGTATATGATGGGTATAAGGAGGAAATTTTTAATTTAAGAGCCATGCTGTTTGGCACAATTAATGATTTTCCTGCTTATGGTAATCTATCCAGATATAGTATCAAAGGATATTATGTATGCCCAATATGTGCAGATAATACTCATTCAATGCGATTAGATCATTGTAAGAAAAATTTCTATATGGGACATCGTAGATTCTTACCTTCAAAACATCGTTGGAGGAAGTGGAAAAAGGCTTTCAATGAGGACTCAGAAGAAGGTAGTACACTAAAGATGTTGACTGGTGAGCAGGTTTTTGAGAAGGTGAAAGACTTGGATAGTAATTTTGGTAAGTATTTTGCAAAACATGCTGCCACAACTAGTTAGAACAACAAGTCAATTTTCTTTGAACTTCCATATTGGAAGTTTTTGCATGTGAGACATTTTCTTGATATGATGTATATAGAAAAAAATATTTGTGATAGTTTAATTAGCACATTGCTCAATATGCAAGGAAAAAGTAAGGATAGTGTCAATGCGATGTTGGATTTGGTTACCTTGGGAATGAGAGAAGAG